CCATTTACAACTCAATTGAAGTAGCTGCTCAAATTTTTACTTGACATTTTTCCGCAAATTTATCAAATTAATTAAGCGAAAAATTTGGTAGCCTGCAAAGGCGGTACTTCACAAAAGGACGCAACAGTCCTATCGTGTGCAACAATATGCGCACTGATTTTTTATACCTGTCTACCCAGTTATGGGTGTGCCAGGGCCATAAATATGACCGCGGGCGAGGCAAAGGATTTCAGCATTTGACCGATGCTACAAGCAGCAACTGCCATTGATATACTCGCTCCGATAATCGCCATATCGCAAGTGTTATCTATTGTCCCCGCTCGGCCCTCGGTGCGTGTTGTGTGTGGGAAAATTGTGCGTCTTTTGTTGCCGCAAATTGTCATAAAATTTCACATAAAAACCTAGTTGCTTAGATAGTAAGGAAAGGCTTTCGGGTGGTCTGCCAGCTATCGAATACATGGACTTCTCTTATTTACATTTCTTAATAGTAGCCACGAAGAATTTAAAAATTCGATTTAGTTTAAAATTCTTCACAGGATGACAAAACTGGTCATGAACTGATTGGATATCTTACTGCGTACCTCTCTAAAGCAGGAGAAATGTAATTATGTTTGCATTGATTTATTGATATTAAATAAGATCTTTACTAGATATCGGATAATATTCTGTGTCCTGTACTCTGCCGATATAGATCTTTAGATGACATTGTAGAGCCCTAATTATTCCTCACACAGGTAAAAATATATCATATATATATAATTTCTGTGAGTCCTATAAAACAAACATGTATCCACCCCTATTGCTATTCCTATTGCAAAATAATTAAACTTTAAAATGAAAAGTAAAATGCTCACTAAAGTTTATATTGGATTTCCACTTGAGACTCATTTTTAATATATTTTTAAGATTTGTATCACTGATGAAAACAAACTTCCAAGCAATTAATAATTTGAAAATGTTATGTAAAAAGCTTTTTGCCCTGTACTCTCTGAACCCATTGGTTAAAAATGGTTGACTCTCGTGTAATGCGTATATCCAGAATATTTTGGAGACCTCCCCGTTCCAACCAGAATTATATAGCGCCTTTTTGGAGATAACTTTTCGGTTTTGCTATTTATACACATTTTTTTGGTCATATTTATGACCTGAAAATGTCATATAAATCGGACAATAAATATCGAACCAAGAAAGCATTTCTTATAGTATAGGGCAGAGGGGAGAAGAGGAGCAGCCGCAGTTGGGAACTGCCTACTCGTCCACTGTTAAATGTTGCAAATTACTTCAATGCATGAGATTGTATTGTATTGATATAATAATTTATTTTTTAAATAAACATGCATTCGTCATTTTAAAAATTCATATCAAGGCTATTCGACAATTTTCAGATATGAAAAAGCGAATTAGTTCGTTGTTGAATCCCAAAACATCTCCGTTGTTGATTCGTCATAATCATAGCCCGTTCCGGTCGTTAAGGGTGATTTACCACTCAGGCAATCATTTAACGCCTCGTAGGTTACGGACGTGTCCTCGACATATGCCCGCTCCGCATTGTTGATGCAAATGGTCTTCGCGCTTTCAATTTGGCTATAAAAGTTCCTGATTTCTATACTTGTTTGGGTTGCGTTTGTCGAAATTGTGTACATCGATTTCGACTCATCAGCGCCCTTAAAAAATATAATCCACCATAGTCAGGACTCACTTAATATAGGCTCTCACGTAATGAGGTACTCACCACCCGGGCGTAGCACTCGAAGGCCTCAACGTAGCCCACAATTGTGGAACAGTCTGCTATCAAATCACAGGAATACTTGCCACTGGATACAAGCGACTGACGTGGCACCTGCCACTTGGAATCCTCCAAGGCGGTTTGCTCGGCGTACTCTGTGTTGCAATAGGTGTATTGGACTTCGTAACGTTGCGCAATGTTGTCTAGTCTTGGCCTGTAGTGTTCAAAGCAAAGTGGAGTATTACTCGGATACTGTGCGCTCAGCAGCTCCGTCTGCTGCTTTAAGCGATGGATCTTGGGTATTTCCAGCTTAACAGTCGCAACCACGGCCAGGCCCAGGAGCAGCAATATACCGCTTGTCGAAGACATTTCAAAGCTCTGAGTTAACTTAATACAGATTTGAAAATGCTTTGCTTTTTATAGGACGCCGTTCTGGATATCAATGGCCCACAATCATATCGTTCTCAATTATTTCATGTTCGTCGCGTTGTTTTAGCCAAATAACATATTTTATCAGACATCCATTGTTTATTTCCTATTAATTAGATTTTGGTTGCGCGTGCTGCCGAAGTTGTAGAAATTTCTTTTGTGTAACATACGAAATTGTTGGAGTAATAACTTTATAATTGATTTTTATTAATTTGTACCTGTGATTTTGCAGAGCTATTTGTTTTTATCGCCCGACCAAACGTAAAGTAGTAATTAAAATTGATATTGGAGTTAATTCATTGAATACAACCGATCGTAGTCTTGGGGAACACAGCAAAACATTAAGAAAATGATTAATAGGTGTAATATAATGATTAGAACTGCTGAGAAATTTTCGGTCGGCAGGGTTGGTTCATGAACCCAACCTTCCACATAGACGAGTCCCGGTTTTGGTTCATATATAAGTCTGTTGTATACTTTCAGTATTTTAATAATGCAATTCAATTGTTGAATTAAATTCCGTTCCCGTTTAACTGAACGTATCAAAAGCCATATTTTCATATACAATATTGTCATCTGCACAAATAATTTTAGATAATGCAACGGTAAGTAAATTATGCTTTGGTGCTGAATATCCTTTAAAAATGTTGCATTTTATCCAAATCATTTATAATGAAAAATTGGGTTTGGTCCGGGTTTCGGTTCAGTGATTTTTTTGGCAACTGATTTGGTTCAATAAATTGGTGTACCGGCTCAGTTTCAAATCGGCTTTAGGCTTTGATAATAATCTTCATTATTTCTGGGAAAAAAATAATAAATTTAGTTTGTTAAAATGCGTTCTCTTAAGCAGTTTAATTTGAATCCATCTATTAAATAATTTCTTATATATCCCAGCAAACAGTTTTGAGTCTATTCTTAATACACAGCTGATTATCTCTCTATATAGGACTGTTTGTCCTGACTGATTGGTATTCCACGCACAGCTCAAACCGTAAGAGCCAGGTAGCTCAAATGTTTATTGCAGTTTTTTGTTTACCATCCGATCGACCTTAAACTAAATTTCTATGATCTTTTCAAATTTATTTAAGGGGTCTCACATTTTTGGAAAATCCATTTTTCCTGGGTGCAAATGGGTGTCAAAGATTTGGTGGGTGATGTTTCGGGATCAAATTAATATTTTAGACTCTTTATGAAAACTCATTTGAGAAGTGCTTCAAACAAATATTTTTTGATGAAGTTGTAATATTTGTCCGATTGGCTTCAAACTTAGTTACTGCGATTTAGAAATTTCATCAGCAAAAGTGGTAAATTTGCAACGTTTGTATAAAATAAAGGTTGTATAAAAGTAATTTTTGTATCATCCAATCGGGTTCAAAATAATTTTCAGAGATCTTTGTGAAAATTCATCAGATACGTGTTTCACTCTTTTCGGAAAATCTACCCTTCTAGGATGATAAATGCGGATCTAACTTTGAGTGAGCGAAGTTTCGGTTGGAAGCTCATTCGTAAAGATCTTTAAGAATACTCATTTGAGACTTATTGTGAACAACTCTTGCAAAATGCAGGTCCCTGCCGTGGAAAATGCGGGTAAACGATCTTTTAGGGGGAAGCTATAAATTTCGTCCTATAGGTTTTTCATTTACTTTCAAAGCCCTACATAAAATGTTAGCGAATTGCGATTAGCGAATAAGTGATTGGCGAAAATCCATCCGCAGCTCTGGTAAATTGGCGGAAAACGGTTGTATGAAGGTATTTAGCTTACCATCCATTCGGCTTCGAAATAATTTTTAAAGAAATTTGGGAAAACTCATTTGAGACGTGTTTCACACTTTTCGTAAAATTATAACTTTAACTTATTTTCGAAGCACTACATACAAACTAAACAATAACTTGTTTCAGCCATTTTGTAAATTTCACCCGCAACTGTGGTAATTTAATGGAAAACTGTCGCATGCAACTTTTGGTTAACCATCGGATCGGACTTAAACTTTGCTACAATTTATAAATCACACTTTTAGAAAATGGATGGAAATCGTTGATGCCAACATATGGTTCTTTATTCGATGGACTTAAAACGTATTTTCAAATAGAAGTGGAGTTCAAAATAGTACAGGCATTTAATTCTCCCCGGGCGGAAACTTGGGAAATAAGTAATATCTTACATTTTTGGCACTAAACTTGGCAGTTTAAACTTAAAGTTTAAATCCATTTGTTTTTTTTGCAATCTCATATGTACCCATTGAAAATGTGTAAAAATAAAGACAGATGCACATCCCACCCCGTGTATATGTATATATATATATATATATATATATATATATATATATATATATATATTCATGGTCTGGAAAACGAGCAAAGTTGATTTAGACATGCAAGTCTAATTAAATTTAAATATTAGTCTCGTCCCATTTTCAAAGCATTAAAGAGTTTATTTTGAGACTTGGTTCTAAAATTAAGTAGGCTCGCATAGACAAAGTTACACATATTTTTAAGAATGTCACTTTCTGAATACCTCCCTCTATTCCATCCAAATTAATTTTCAAAGCTCGAGCCTCGTGACTTGGTATATACACACACACATTTTATAGAGATCGGACGGAAGGCATATATAAAGTACCTGCATAAGCATTCTGGCACTTAATTTTATGTTTTTAAGAATTCATAGCGTGGTACTAAAAACAAAATAATAAAGTAACATTGAGGTATTTTAACCGAGCACATTTTTGTTCAAATTTCAGGTTTAATATATAGATTAGAGAAGGATATTAAGTTAATTTAACCCCTGTAAAGGGTGGCTTCTAATCCACCCCTTCCATCCCAACTCCAATTAATGCGCTGTCAATTTCTAGTACCTTAAAATCTTTGCAATAAATATGCGAATTTTTTTATTGAATGCATGTTTAATATTTTAAATTCTATTCTTTATATGTTGACTCAGTTGTAAACTCAGTTGTAAACTCAGTTGTAAACTCAGTTGTAAACTCATTTGCTGTGGAATCAGTGAAATCTGGAGTGGGGACTGGAATATTATCGTTGCCCAGTAGGCAACTATTTAATAGGCCATAGACCTTAGACGTGTCCTCAACATAGTTCCTTTCCGCATTACTAACGCAAACGTTCCTTGTAGTGTCAACTCGCAAATAGTCCGACTTGCTCTTGATAGCAGCATCCGTGGCGTTGGCAGAAATTGCATAAAAGATCTTAGCATCTTCAGCAGCCTGAAACCCGAATTAATTTAAACGCATTTCATATATCGAATTCGAGTTTTGTGGTAAAGAAAACCCCTTACCGTAGTTGAGGCACAATCGAACGCATTGTAGGCATTCGAAGCCAGATTGCAGGCATATAAAGCGCTACAGGACTGGAAGGCACTGGTCTCTATGTTCTCGCGTGCAGACTTATAGCAATTCTCAACCTGTTTGCTTGATGTTTCATAGGCGCTGATGCAGCTGTCGTAATCGACCTCGTACTGTGCCGTTATTTGGTTCAACTGCGGATTGTAGAAACTGAAACATTTTGTCGACGTGTCCTGGTGTACTTCAGCCAGAACCAGGCTTTCGCTGTGGAGCTTCTGAATCTTGTCATCTGTTTTAAGGGTTATCGGCAGTCGGCGAGCCAACGTATAGCTGATGCTGAGACCCAGCAGGAGCACAGATAATTTCAGACACATCTTCACAAGGATATCGACAAGAGACCGTGTATCTGTTTCGATTTGGCAAACCAAAATAAGTTGTCGAACTCTCACAATTTCGGCTGTATTTATATCGATTCGTTTCAGCACAATCTCTTAAAGCGTTCTATTATCTTTTAATTATTGATGTCAATGTCATAATAATGCGAAACAACCTAAGGCCTAAATCAACTCTGTTAATTTATAAACTGAACTCTTTTTTTATCGTTTTCGGTTTTTATTTGTAAAAAGCACCGAAGTGACATTGATAATATTAATGTAAAGCATAGCAATAACCGTTTTAGAATGTTCAAGATTAGGTCAATAAAATGATGATAAGAATGAAACTAAAATATGTATAACTTGGTATGGTCCGAGATATTCTGTTCCGAGATCTGAAGTATGACAAAACATACATAACAAACATATACTTACACGCTTAATCTGTTTTGATCGATTTTATGCGATTCTTTCAGCACCTAATATTAATCGTTATACCGATTATTATCGCTTCCACCTCGTTACTCAGCTACCTACTAGAGCAGTCTTACTTCTTTTGAGATAACGTTGTACTATCTTTTAACCCTATCCTTAAGTATCGTTATACCATCCACTAGATAATGGCGATAAGAAATAAATAAAGAACGAAACGAGAGTGTAAAGAGACCTTCGGCACGACGAAAATTTAGTACCCATTTGCAGATATTTATAGATAATAGTGAAGCTATTAAATTCTTAGTTTGATGATAATTTCTTGGAAAACAGAATATTTGCAATTAAGTTTTCCACCGATCTTTCTTATGACAGCTATATCAATAAGTGTCCCGATGTTGATAAGAATTAGCAAACAGGGGATACCCTGAACCTTCTTCTACCAACACCAAGTACAGCATGTCAAATTTGAAAATTGAAATTAAAAGAACAGAATTTCGGAATCGATTGTTATCGATTGCTTTAAAACGGGCACGCTTTCGATTATCTGAAACAAACTAGTACTGCGCGAGACTAGGAGGACGTACGTTCAAAATTTCAAGTCTATAGCTCCTATAGGTTCTGAGATCCTTGCGTTCATACATACGAACAGGTTGGCGGACGAATTTTAATTATTGAAGCTGATTTAGAATTAAACACTTTATGGGGCCTCGGATGCTTCATTCTGCCTGTTACATACATTTGCACAAAAACATTATTCTCTTTTTACACATTTTTATTGAGTTCAGGGTATAAAAAAGTTTGCATACCAGAATCAAAGACAATTTACACAATTTCGCCCTTTAAGCTATTAGAAAGAAAGGGTAAAGATTTCAGGGTTCGTTGTTAATATTGCGAAAATTTAGCCGCATATATGCATTTGGTTATATGGCGTTACTCATCTTAGTGTTTTTATTTTCTTTGCAAGAACCTACTTTTCGAAAGATTGTTTCTATGGCAGCTATATGCTATAGTGGTCCGATCCGGCCGATTCTGATATATGTACTGCCTGCATCAGAAAGACGGACCGACACAAAGTTCCAAGACAATAGCTTTAGTTCGCATAGAAACAGACAGACGGACATGAATATATAATATAATATATAATATGATGCTGTTCTATATGGGTCATGGGGTCGGAGATGTCTCCTGCTACGTTACACATTTCAAAACAACATTTTAATACCCTCTGCGGGGTATAATAATAGCAATAATAATAAACATATACAAACTTTAGGTTTGAAATACTCTGTACAATTCAAACTAATTTTAAATAAAACACAATTATTTTTTTTAATTAGTCATGTTCTTATTTAAATCATAAGAATTTCAGGATCTCTTTTATATACAATTTTTTGCAAATAATTCATGCATAGGCGAGTTATACAATTGTTGTTTCTGGTAATGCGGTGGTTCCGATGGTAGTGGACGGGGTTGAGGAAGGCTCGACGATATCGCCATCAAGGCATTTTTGCAGCTCAGCATAAGTGCTGTCGGTATTTTCCCAATATGCTCTTTCGGCATAGTTGGCGCAGAACTCAGCCACGGTTTCAGCCGCACGATACAGCTCCCTCACGATTCCGCCGTATTCGCCGGCATCCGATGCCAGAGTGAACAGTTTTTTTGAATATTCGGAACCCTAGATTAAGAGAGGTGAGTATGAGGATTTACTTCCAGGGATTTCAGTTGACTTACTGTGCTTGCGAAGCAGTCAAACGCATCAACATAGTTGACGTTGCCATCACATTTCAGCAGTGCATCGCAGGTCTCCTTAGCTGTCGCGGCGAAGTTTTCACGAGGCTCGTAGTATTTTGCGTCTATTGCCTCACACTCCGCCTTATACGTGTCCACACACTTGCCATAGTCAGCCTCGTACTGATCCGTAATGTCCTTCAAGATTGGCAAGTAGCGGTTAAAGCAGTACTGGTTCAGTGCTGGGTTGCTTGAGCCCACTCCTCGCGACATAAGCATAAAGTCCACTAGACTGCGATCGGAGTCGATCTTGGGCTTCAGCGGCATCATGGCCAGGGCTGTGCCAATTGTCAGGAACAATGGTAACGTTTTGAACAACATTATTTTTCGAAGAGCTACTAGCTGTGAATGTCTTTCCAAAGTGTCGCGGACTTCTTTTTATTTACCCCAAAAGAATATGGCTTGCATGATTTATACTTTCTACCGTTGGTCGAGATTGCATTTATGTTTATCAATACAAAATTTTTTTTATTCTTATCAAGCCAACTTATCAATATACACCTCATAACGATTGAATCATTCTAGGATGGTGTTGTAAATATTAAAGTAAATTAAAAAAAATATCGACCTTCGACAGACAAATACTCTTTTGAGTGATTAGTTTTGTTCCGTCATAAATACTTGACATATCGAACTTTAAGGTAATAATGACGTTCTGATTCAATCAGGATTAGACGGATATATTTATGGATTGAGTTGTCTTCTTCATCGGGCGATGTTACTATTCATTTTACAAAAAATTCTCATCAGTTCGTACAGGGTATTATAAATGACATTAGGGAGTAGCATATATATTTTTACTGTATATGACCTTATCTAAAGGTTTGCGAATATTAAAGAAAGAGTTTCCCGACAAGGAAATTCGTACAACATTCTCAGAACTTGTTATCAGACGTTCCACCTTTCTGTTGAATTCTAAAAAATGAAAAGTTCATTCCTGAATTTTGTTATCTGGCAGTCACTCAATTGCGTACATGAGTTGGATTGTAAATAAAACAAAAAAAGTACCGGTAAGTATTATTATTATTGCAAATCCAAATTGTGACGAAATAATTTTTTTTTGATGTATAAGATACTAGAGGAAATTACCCGTCGTTGCGTGAATAAAATATTAAAAAGTAAAAAAACGAAAGTGGCAAACTCCCCCTCCCACTCACCACACTAATCTATTATCTCCCCATTAACAAAATAAGAGTGCTCTAGTCGAGGATGCCCGACTAGCGCAAGGCTGCCTTTGCAAAGACGCCTACACGGATTGGCTGTGTTTTGTCACTTATTAGACTTGCGTTCGTAATTACCATTTGTATTTTAGTCCGATATGAATGATATTTTTGGGGCTTGAGTTATCAGTAGATCTCTGCAGTATATACTGCTCAAAGAAGGCAAAGGTTATACCTTTTTCTTGTAATCAGAATTCCGCATTTCATAAAAAAGTAAACAGGTTATTTTGCCTTCCTTGTAGACAATTGCTTTACGGTCTGTAAGGTAAAAAATAAAATTTGTTTGGTAAAAAATATTTTGGAAAACTAATAAATGCCGCGTTTGTTTAAGATTTATTGATAAACGAAAAAATTGTCAATACAAGAACCTATTTTTCGACCGATTGTTTATATGGCACCTATAAGATATAGTGGTCCGATGTTGATAGCATTTTGCTTAAAAATGTTAAGTTTCGTCTAGATATAATGAAAAACTGAATTTTCGGGCAATCGTTCCTATTTACATACATATGTATGGTATAGTGGTCGGACGGCGGCTTGACTGCATCAACTCGGCTGTTAATGCTGAAGTGGGACATATATATTCCATGGGTTCGGAGATGTCTTCTTGTATATGGAAATTATAATATCCTCTACAAAGGTATACAAATATGTTGGGAATTAAAAATAAGTTTCATAGGCTTCTTTTTTTTGGCGACTCATAATCTTCATAAGATGTCGTTCAAGAGTGAAAGTGCTGGTGGAAAAACTAATATATTTCATTTAATATAACGGTAATTCCCCGCTCTTTTTCGTCGATATTACTCTTTAACCCACTTGCCGCCCGTGGAAAATTTAAATCTACCCGTACTATCTTGAACTTCACTCCTTACCAAAACATGCAGAAAATAACTTTGAAGTCCATCTAATCAGAAAGCAACAATTAAAATAAACGTTTTCCGCCCAACATGTAGTGACAATCTTGATGCCGAAAAATAAACTTTTCCTAATTCACCCTTTGACCAAAAATTTCCATTTCGGAAAACGTATTGAATGAATATTCACTAAGAAAAATGAAAAAGTGTTTGAAGGTTATCAAAAAAGTTACAAGTTTTTGGAAACTCTAAAATCGTTGAAACACGTATTCATTTTTATGTAGAGCTTTGAAAAAAAATTTATTTTATTTTTTTTTGGAAGCTGAATTTTTCGAACACGTCTCAAATGAATTATCAAGATACTTGGATATGCGAAAATTGGCGGAACACGGTTAAATGCAACTTTCTTTATTGCCATCCGATCGGCTTCAAGCTCATTTTCAAAGATCTTTGTGAAATGCTCACCAAAAGACTAAATTGAGCGGAAGACGCTGATTTCAAACTTTTCGTTCTTTATTTGACGGACCTTAAACTCATTTGAAATGTCCGAGTTCAAGATTTTACGGATACATTAATATTTTCAGCAGCATGAAAATGGGTGGAAAATTAATGTTTAACATCTAATGCAAAAGCTCTAAACGTAAAGATCGGTAAGAACGAGCTAGTATAAACACATGTTCAATCAAATTAAAAAAGTAACTAAATATTTTTGAATATCAGAATCTCGAATATAGTCCTTTATCTCTATATATAAAACTGTTTGTCCTGACTGACTGAGTGACTGTCTGACCGACTGACTGATTGCTGTCAGCCCAAACCGTAAGAGCTAGGAAGCTAAAATTTTCACTGCAGTTACCTTATCTGATGTAGGTGCACGTTAAGACGGGGTTTCGGGAAATTCCACCCGCAAGTGTGGAAAAATCGGGAAACGTTTGTATACAACTTTTTTGCTTACCATCCGATCGGCCTCAAACTCATTTTTAAAGATCTTCGTTCAAATTCATTAGAAGGGTGTTTCGTACTTTTTGGAAAATCCATCCCTCCTCGGTGGAAATGGGGGTCAAAGATTTCACCCTCAAATTTATTTTCTATATGGAAAATCATTTGAAACGTGTTTCACACTTTTTACAAAATCTAAACTTCTTCGGTGGAAAGTGCAATTCAAAGATTTTTTTGTCGAAGTTTTAAATTGTGTCTGATTTGCTTCAAACTTATTTTAGGCTCTACACGAAAACTTAATGAATACGTGTGCCTGCGATTTGGCAAATTCCACCGGCAACAGTGGTAAATTAACGGAAACGTTTGAATGAAAGTAGTTTGTTTACCGTCCGATCAGTTTCAAAATCATTTTCAAAACTTTTTGAGAACATTTATTTTATACATGCCACGGGAAAGGCCGGGCTATACCCGCTGGTGTACATATATTTCGAAATTGTTCAAAATGTTTGGAATTAAGAAACGTGAAAAAATAAAAATGTTTTCTCCGCTCCAGTAATTTTTATCTAGGTGGTATTTTGATAATTTTATGCGTACGTGTATATTAGCATATATAAAAATATCCTGGGTAAGCAGAAGATGAGCACTCTTATATGAAAATGTAAACTTACAATACAAACAAGTGTGAAATTGGACATAAAATTATTTTTTTTTTCAACGATCATCTTTATGAATCATTTATGTCAATAATTACGGTTATTATACGAATTATTATATACATTTTTTTTTACAAATAATACATGTATAGGCGAGTTATTCATTTGTTGTTTCTGGCAATGCAGTGGTTCTAATAGTGGTTGAAGGGGTTGTGGAAGGCTAGACGATATCGCCATCCAGGCATTTTTGCAGCTCAGCATAGTTGCTGTCGGTTTTTTCCCAATATACTCTTTCGGCATAGTTGGCGCAGAACTCAGCCACGGTTTCAGCCGCACGATACAGCTCCCTCGTGATTCCGCCGTATTCGCTGGCATCCGATGACAGAGTGAAAAGTTTTTTTTGAATTTTCGGAACCCTTGAAGTAAGAGAGGTGAGTATGAGGATGTACTGCTGCTCTCCAAATTTCTTAAGAGATATTTCTATTCCGGCTTACTCTGCCTCCAGAAAGCGTGTGAAATATATTTTTTTGGATCGATATTTAGAAGAGCTTATTTGAAGTCTTTATTGCATATTAATTCACTCACGACGGAATTGCTAGAAATATACAAAAGAATATTTGTCCGTGTCAAAAATTGTAATTTGCGCCATTTCTCACCGTAGCGCCACCTTTCGGCTAGCAGAACGTACCACTAAATATTCAAACGATATATCGATAGCTACGTACAGAGATGCTGCTGCCTGCATTTAATTTGTTAAAAATGTGTGTGAACAATTTATAAAATTTTGACAATGGAATAATGCTCTTATACCATTTGTCCACTATGCTTAAGAAATGTCACATTTTCATATTTCACATATTGGTGTTCCATCGGTGGTCGGTAATATATGAGTGGGAAAAGTACCGCTTCATTAAATAAACAGCTGATGAGTTGCTTTGATTTACCTAAGCGCCGCAAAGCAGGATTTGGCCATCTTTAACTGTTAAAAACTGTGGGATTATTAAAACTTAAAATTATGATTTAAAGTAACCGCTTGCCTTCGTTGCTATATCAGCTGTTTATGGTAATAATACTATCACATTTTTCATAACATTGATAGAAAACTCGATAAATCATCGCAAAAAACACAAACGGTTCGGGGCGAATGTGACATTTTTGAAAAATGTGTGAAAGGTGTTTTTTATGGGAAAAAGTACAGGCCGCATTTTACACATTTTGCAAAAATGTGACATTATCAAAAATGTGTAAAAAATGTAGTCAGTTGGCAGAGGCTACTATCTCCAAAATGCAATACATAAACATTTAAGCGAATATGTATCGAGTACTACCCTTCTCAATAGTATTAAATACAACTTGCGATACTTACTCTCATCATAAGAGGGGTACCACTACAAAAATATTTAAGCGTTTTTGCAGCTGCTACTTTTGAATTTACATTGTTAGTCCCAATTTTCAAGTATTGTAATGTATTGTAAGTAAAAAGTAATAGTATTGTAATAAAAAACGTGTCTTTTCAAATATATCTCAGCTGACACAGTAAGATTCGGCTGCAGCTCTTTAATAAGGACTAAAAAGATGGAACAATTATAATGTTAAAAGGTCGCATGTCCTTGCAGAATATTAGGAAATTTAACGCAGTGATCAAATTTTATATTTTCATCCACCTCTGAAATAAAAAGAAAATTGAAATTAATTTATTTTTTATGTTTTATAGTATGTGTTAAGCGTTTGCCAATTAGAGTTTAGCGTCACAAAATTGAACACGGTTGGCGGGCAACTAAATCATATGTGCAGTTCGATTACTTTTCATTCGATTTAATTACTCCAAAACTTCTTCCCAGTGGATTTAGAATGATACAATAATACTCATTTGAAATTAGAAGTATCGAGTACTGACTTGTATATAGTGAAATCGGTACATCACTATGAAACGATGTATCGATGTCCATTAGATATAGATTATCGATAGAATTATATATCATATTCGTGGTTGTTTTTTTTTCTGATCAAAACATATATTTATTTTGCGTTAGAAAAATATTGCATTCACAAGATTCTATCCTGATTAACTTGCGGCCTACTAGTGATTTTTGTTCGGTGACGCACAAATCAAACAAAGAAAATTTTCGTCAAGCTACAAAGAAATACACACACACACACATACATATATACATATACAATCTTAAAGTAAGTGCAAGCGAAGAATCGGTAACGAAAAATCCAAAAATTGCGAGGTGAAATATAATATGTGCGTTTTCAACTATTTATTATTGTCATATTTATGCTGTGAAATTTGCAATCGTCTCAATGAATAGAAAGGGGCGTGAGCATGGTTATGAAATTTAGTAATTTCATTATATGGTTTTCCTCGTGTGGCACTCACTTAGTGATGCGCACTGTCCGAACTGTAACTGAAATACCAGTTGGGACTGAGAAGCGCGATACCGAGGTCTGCGATGAGATCGTGGATACTCAATTTCAATGTAGAGCTTGAGAAACATCGATGTTTGCAAGCAAATATTGTTCAGTTGAAAGGTGGTATAATAATTTGCATTTTAAAAATGTTCAAGTACAAAATTATCAAATCATCAATAATTTTAATAGAAGTCCATGACACTTTTGGAATATTGTTTAAACAGTGTATTATTTTGATGTAAACAATGCAGTGCGCGCCTATTTTGCTCATCTAGACGCGTTGTAGCGCGCCTAAAAACAGGAGTTTTTAATTGACACCGCTAAAATAAAGGGAGTAAATATTAAGCACAGCAACAAGTACATTTTTTGAGCTAACGCCTACGCTGAGCTGTAGCTGAAAGGCGTGTGGGCGTGTCAGTTCGGATAGGGCTAAATTTAGCACCGAGCCCGCGTCCTTGATAAATCGATGGGCAAAAGGAAGAAAGAGTAAACGGCGGTACCACTAACCACAGAAACAACAATACGAACAACTTAATAAAAAAAAAGCGCTGCTGCATTCGGTCGAGTGTAGGCGGTTAAAGGCTCTATTCGCATCCTTGATTCCGTTTGTTTGTGTGCGTGTGTGATACTGTGCTTGTGTGCGTGTGTTGGGTGTCTGGCATTTATAGATTTTTGCATGCCGCTCAGCAAATTGTTTCGACTCATCAGTCTTTCTCCCCCTCCTCACAGCAACAAAAGTCAAAGGCGCGACTGGCCCGAAAGTAATTCTATAAAGTACACACACATTATGTTCAATAGATATGGGAGGATTCCTGGATAAGCCGAAAACAGCAAAGCATAATGAACAAGGCGAAGGCAATAAGCTGCTCTTTGGCGTCAGCTCGATGCAGGGCTGGCGCTGTGAGATGGAGGACGCGTATTATGCTCAAGCCCGCCTAGGCAATGCATTGGAGGAGTGGAGCTTTTTTGCGGTATTTGATGGCCATGCGGGCTGCAAGGTATCGGAGCACTGTGCCAAGCATTTGCTAGACAGTATCATTACCACAGAGGAGTTCAAGAACGGCGACCATGTGAAGGGTATACGAACCGGTTTCCTGCGCATTGACGAGGTGATGCGACAACTGCCCGAGTTTACCCAAGAGGAAGAGAAGTGCGGCGGCACTACGGCTGTCTGTGCATTCATCAGCTCAACGCAGGTGTATATAGCCAATTGCGGGGATTCGCGTGCAGTGTTGTGTCGTCAGGGCGTTCCGGTGTTTGCTACCCAGGATCACAAGCCCATTTTGCCTGAGGAAAAGGAGCGTATTCACAATGCTGGCGGCAGTGTAATGATTAAGCGCGTCAATGGAACACTGGCCGTGTCGCGTGCTCTCGGCGACTATGACTTTAAGAATGTGAAGGAGAAAGGGCAGTGCGAGCAGTTGGTCTCACCGGAACCGGAAATCTTTTGCCAAAGCCGCCAGGACACCGACGAGTTCTTAGTACTCGCCTGTGACGGCATCTGGGATGTCATGAGCAACGAGGATGTATGCAGTTTCATATACTCGAGGCTTAAAGTGACCACAGACCTGGTAAACATTGCCAATCAGGTGGTTGACACCTGTTTGCACAAGGTACAGTATGATCCTATTTGTTAACATAATAAATCTATTTATATATTGTTTTTTGGAACCACAGGGTAGTCGTGATAACATGAGCATCATAATAATTGCTTTCCCCGGAGCACCAAAGCCAACTGAAGAAGCGAAAGAGGCTGAGCGACGGTTGGAGAAACAAATTGAGAAGATCGCAAGAGGTTGTCTAAGTCGTCTACTCTGTTTATAACTAATCGTAAACTTTACGATAGTAGTAACACAATTGTGTTTATGTCTTAGTGCCATCGAACTTCCACCTTCGATGCGTTAAACGACCTGACATAGGCGACTAAAAAGCGAATACATTGTACCTTACGTAATACAAAGATAGGCCCAATCAATGGTTGGCATAGATTAGTAGGTCCCCTTAAATACAAACGTATTTGTATTAGTTAGATAGCTAGATAATTAAACAAATCCAATCCGCAATGCAAGGACACTTGCAACAAGATTTTCCTGCCACGTAGCACTCGTAAGGAAAACTCGAAAATCAAAAACCAAACAATTGCTATTACCATTGCCAATACCAAGTCGGTACATTCGTATACGTTTTCAACTATACATACTTAGCTCTATGCATCTCTATTGATAATGCATAGTAAATACCTGTATACATAGCGTGTTAGTTTGTCATATCTATTACATCCGCTGGTTGTGCGTGTGGCTGAGTGACTGACCGTGTGTGTGTGTGTGTAACAGTATTATTTATTTATTATACCTGTGTTTTAATGCGTTTGTGAGCTACTGCCACTGCCAGAACTTAAGTGATCGAACTCCTTGTAGCTGAAGAACCCAAAATCCCTAGCCATTTAGAAACAGTATATCATGTGTATATTTATAGTAACATATTGTAGTACCATAAGTTTATTAATAATTATCGATATTCCTTCCCCTTAACAGTTGTAGTTGGGGCCCGTCAGACAGTGTACATATGCTTGTATATAATCCTTTGACTAAATACCCAATCATGCTTTAAAAAAAGAAAACCTTACGCATATTTGATAAACAGTTTAGTGTAATTCGATCAAAACCAAGTAGAATTAAATAAGACAGTCGTAGTTTAGTAGAACATTTGCAAAGCCAATTTAAACTTTATTTAAACTCAAAACAAATACTCGACATAATAGAGCAGATATGAAAAGTAAAGAATCGAGTAATAGCACCATCAAAAATTGATATGCATCTACTAACGATTGTTGTTAAATTGAGGGAATTGATTTAGATGAATCATTAAATTATAGCTGCGCTGAGTACAAGCTCAAGTATTAGTCTTATAGCATATTTAGAATTTTTTCTAGTGCGTATACACGATTGTTCTTAGGTAGTTCACAGTATTCATAACACCAAAGTGAATTTTAAAAAACGTCCTTACGACAATGTTCAAGTACAGACGTCAGCTTTATATATATACGATATAGATAACTACTTTATGTAAATGGAATTCTTTATGGTTTACCATTAACAAAAAAACAAAACGAACCACAAGTTATTGCAATTAGTCATATTTACCAAAATCTTGTTAAAGTACAACAAAAGAAAAACATAGTTAAATCAAATGTCCAGACAAATTACTTAGCCTAGGGTAAAGATATTTATTGCTAAGCCTTAGGTCATCTGTATATGTATCAGATGAATCCAAAAGTATAAAAAAAAAATGAAAGAAAGAAAGACGTGAATAATATTGTAAACCTTATGCTCACCAGTTGTTGTGCTTGTTGTCGTCGTATACAATTTACTTTAAAATGTTGAATTTAGAAGTGCAATTGATGCGGCACAGCGAAGCTAATTAAAATCAGGTCGAATATCTCTTCGATATGCTGAGAACATTTGTACCTACGTACTATAGCAATCATTCATAATTGAAATCGCTTGCTCAAGCAGCGGCGTTTATATAGCTAATAATAATAGAATATCAAGACAACTATATAAATACGGTT